TAGGCATGCATGCCGTGGAAGGCCTGCAGGCCAACCGTCACAGGCACTGGCTGGGTGCCAGCCCCATGCTCTCCCTTCTCACCGATCAACTCTGGGCTATTACTGCCCAGGGCCACTCTCTGTGCCAGTTTGTTCTCTTTCATCAGATCCAAAACCTGTTGAAAAACTTAACATCTAAACTCCACATAGTTGACTCAGGAGAATAAAACTGTTATCAGAATTTAAGATACTGTTATGAGAGCAATTATTTTTTGAAAGTGATACTTACATACTTCTTTGGAGGCACCTCAAGGTTTACTTAACATGTAGGGCATATGATATTTACCTAAGGATACCTCTAACACTATAGCTGAACAAGTGCTTTGCAAGAAACGTGGGAATTATTGTTTAGTACTCCTCTGCTTCTCTCATAATTATGATCTGTTAATTGGACAACCAGCCTCTATGAGCTGGAAATATCACACATTCACTTCACCAAAAAGATCTGCATTTGATACAAAGCTCCGTAATAACATTTCTAGTGAATGAAATGAACTGATATTTAACTGAGAATGTTGACAGTTTTCGAATGAAGAAGTATAATATTAAAAGATACATGTAACCCTATAATTTCATGATAGTGTTATAGTTATATTTTCATTCCCAAACAATATCATCATGAACAAAGCCCAGTAGAACTTCTTTCTAAAAAAACTTCTTTCTAAGAGGTTGTGAAATATGTTATAATTATTGATGGGTAGGAGTCTAAGCTTTGGAATCACAAAACCCTGAGTTTTAAAACCTGGCCTAGCATCTTACTACTTAGTATTCCTTTGTCAATATTTTTACCTCTCCTTAGTTTTCTTCTTTGTAAAATAAGGTTAATAGTATTTACCTGAAGAACACAGACAAAGAGCCTACCACAGAGTAGGTGTTAAAGGAGGAGCTGTCTCTAATGGTATCATGCCTATGTTATGGAAAGAAATGATCATTTTCTTTACATCCACTTGTAGTGAATTTATTTATTTTTACAAAGGACCTTACTCAGATTGATTATTTATAATGTTGGAAACCTCATGAGTAGGAATGAGTTAAAATAAGTTTTCCTTTTAATTTAAAAAAAAATCAATACTGTCATGGGAATATTTAATTTCTTCTGAAGGGAACTTGAAGAATCAATAACATTTCTTAGTATTGATGCTGCATAAAGTTGAAGTCAAAGCTAGCCTCAAAATGGTGAGTCAGACAAAGGTAATCATGCTCAAGCCAGAAAAATCTCCCACTCTTTTGGAAATGGCCTCAGAAAGATCTAAGATTGACACCAAGACCTGACATTGAACTGTGGATTTGAGTGAGGCTTGCAAGAAGGAGGGAATGAATCCCTAAGGTGAGTCCTTAGTGCTTATACCAAGCCCCAGTGGTTTTATTTTTCTAATAGAGAGATGACAGTGGTGGAAATAAAATGTCTATTGTTATTTTCAAATCATTACTACTTAATCATCATCATTAATTAATAATTAGTATCCTGTTTTGGGCTGTGTCCTAGCCAAATAGCAGAATTAAATAACAGAGCTTATAGAGACATGGGCTGGCATCACAAACTAGATATAGAAACAACAAAGTAAATACCAGTAAATATTAGGGTGGCATGAAAACAGTACCTCAGTAGTGTTGTGGAGCATGTAAGGAAAAGTGAATCTGAAGGTAAAGATTTAAGAGTTCTCACCATAGTTATCTATCTAAGCAACTATGTGACATGAAAGGTCACTTACCTTCTCTGCACCTGAGAACCTTTGGATTTGCTGTACAATCTAGTATGGTAAGGTGTTCCTGTTACATATTCTGTGAAATTTACTGGTGGCCCCTTTCTATCTATTAAGTGTATTCTACCTTTTAACATCTTGTATTATCAACTCCTAATCCCAGATTCAAATAGACATGGAGGAGGCTTCCCTTTGTCCTTGTTTCCTCAATAATAGCTATAATATCCTAACTTTTTGATTGTAAGGTGTTGGTTCCTGTTAAATTACAGAGATTACTGGAGTGAGGTATTGCTTGTCATCTTTTCTTCCTTGTTGACTGGAACGTGGACGTAAGAGCTGGAGTTCCAGCAGCCATTTGGTTCCTGTGGGTATGAGATTTATAGGGGTGGACTGATTTCCAACAAAGTTAAAGTACTCTGACAATTGCTCTGACATTAGGAGACAGTCAGCTCCAGTTCACCTTTGTTTATTTATAAACTCCTGACAAAACAAGTTCCCAAGAATCTTTGCAACTCCAGATTTTTAACCTCAGTTTTCATTGGTCCTTCTACAAATAAACGACATACTAAAAAACCAAAAGATGCATATGATTTTAGCAAAATGTTGAGAAGGGATAATTTCCCTAAAAAACAGTAAATGTGTCAGCTGAATATTCATAATATTTAAGTATGTTTTATATTAGACTGAATTCTAAGAATTTTGAAGATGGTACAAAAATTACAGAAAATTGTTCTGAAGAAAGGCAGGTGTTAAGTAGCTTTGCAAAAATTAAATGGCAAATAACTCTATGCATTTAAGTGTTAGTATTTCATTGATGTTTCTCTTGGGGGAAAAAAGACCTCTTATAAAGAGATACATGGTACAGTCCTGTAATCCCTGCACTCAGGAAGTTGAAGCAGGAGACTTATCAGTTTGAGGCCAGCCTGGGTTACTTAGCTAAGACCCTGTTTCAAAAGAGAAAGAGAAAGGTTGCTTTCTCTAGTTAGAGGTATACATCTTTAAATATGGCTTAGTAAAACATTGCAGAAATCTTACATGAAGTAAACTTACCATGAAATATATGTATTGATATGGCATTCCCCATTATCTTTTAATTGTATTAGCTATTTTAAATTAAATTTCTCTAATTATATAACTCTCAACTATGAGGTGAACATTTTATTTTATTTTATTATTCATATGTGCATACAAGGCTTGGGTCATTTCTTCCCCCTGCCCCCACCCCCTCCCTTACCAGCCACTCCACCCCCTCCCTCTCCCCCCCACCCCCTCAACACCCAGCAGAAACTACTTTGCCCTTATTTCTAATTTTGTTGTAGAGAAAGTATAAGCAATAATAGGAAGGAACAAGGGTTTTTGCTGGTTGAGATAAGCATAGCTATACAGGGAGTTGACTCACATTAATTTCCTGTGCGTGTGTGTTACCTTCTAGGTTAATTCTTTTTGATCTCACCTTTTCTCTAGGGTGAACATTTTTTAAATGTATTTACTGAGTAGTTATAAATAGCATCTACCTAAGTGATTTCTCATTATATTCTCACTGATTGCAAGATTAGAAGACAGAGTTTAGATTTCCAAATTAAAAAAAAAAAAACTAAAATGAACCAACATTTTGAATATGGTTAGGTTCCCAGTACATACTTGTTGGCATTATTGAGTTTTCTATCTTTGAAAAGACCTAAGGTAGTGTTTCTTAAATTATGGCAAAGAAATCACTTGCCTCAGAATTGCTAGCTAGGGTGTTTGTTAAAAATGCAAACCCCCAGGCTTCTCAACAGATCTAGCCAGTCAGAGTTTCTACACACAGTTTGGGAATGTGAACTTAACCTTACCTACCGATATACCTTCCAACACATTTCAGATCCGAATGTTCGATCTGCTGCTTGGTCTAATGGGATGAAGTTTAAATCTGATTCTAGTTATTTCTTCTCGCCTCCACTTTTTCTACTCTGCCTGCAGGCTAAGGCAGGAGCCATTGCTGGATGATCAAGGTTAACTCTTCAGGGGAGAGGAATGTCTCTAGATAGGTACAGAGTACATAAACAGTCATGCATATCTGTAACGGAAGGAAAGGATAAGGATAGTAAAAGTACAATTCAGAGACTTGAAAACCATATACTGAACTAGTCTGGAGTGCGACTGTAACTCCGGGAATGGTTGTATGTTAGAGAAGGGATGGGATAACTTAATACACGCCTCCCATCTCCTTCCGTGTCGGTGCTTCTGGGCTCTGGTGATGAATGTGTTTATTTTATGTGACTTGCTTTGGGTAAATAACCCAATGCCCTATCAGCTGTGCAGCCGCGGCCGGCGGCGGCTGTGTGCGCACTAATGACGGTGGCAGGGGCCTGGGGAGCGCGGGGAGGGGCTGCCCAGCGCGATCGCCCCGGCACTGCCTAGGAGACTCGCAGCCCTTTCTCTGCAGCTGCCACTTGAAGACTCTACACTTCCCCTCCAGAGGACAAGGCCACCCGTGTACATCAGCTGCCCTCTCCATCCCTCCTTCTCTCTCCCCTCTCCGCTACCCCTACCCTTTCCATTGTGTTGTGTCTTTGCAGTTTACTCCTCTTCCTGCGTAAGACCTCAACCTCTTTTTGTAGCAAGGGGATTTACTTGAGAATACCTCACCCTCTAGTTGCAATGGATCTGTATGGAAAGGTAAGCCGAAGGGGAGTTCCTCAGCGGGCTCATCCAGAAATCTCGCTTTCGCACTTTGGGAGGGGGTGTGTTTGGGTGCTTGCTTGCAAATCTTCTGCATGCAATTACGCGGATAAACCACTTTCCTTAAACTCGCGCCACTCCTCGTCATTCTCCGGCGTGTTTGTTGAATAAGATTGTAAAACTACCCCCACTCAGCCCATGGAAATGTATAAACTTTCCCGATTCGGGATGGGGAGGAGTAAGGCGCTTGCTCTGTATTGAAAATTAGTACAAATTAACGCATGTTCTAACCAGGCAATCGCAGTATCACTTCCAAAGGCGATAGTTAGCCAAGAAAAACTCCAGCTGAGATGCACTAGGGTCATTCGCGCGGGTGCCTGGCGAGGAGAAGGGCAGCGGAGGATGGAACGGTGGCAGCCAGGAGCGCTAGGAAAGGAGCAGAAGGGAGGCTCCGCCGCCAAGGGCCACTGGAGCAGCCAGCCTGTGGGAGGGCTTGCGGGCTCGCCGGGTGTTGTAGTTCGCAGCTCTAGGGTTTGCAGGGAAGCCTTGCAGGATGAGACTACAACTCCCAGGAGTGCGCGGGGCTCCCGGCCAGTGCGCCTGTGCAGCGCCGGGAAAGGACAGCTCCGGTGCTGATGTTGGAGCCGGCTAGCGAACCCGGAGAGCGCAGTGTGCAGCGTGGACCGAGCGGGCTGTGCACGCTTGACCAGGCGCGGGGGCCAGCGCCGTCCTAGCCGGAGAGAAAGGAAATTTGCCCACACACAATGAGACACGAAGCGCCCGTGCAGGTGGGTCTAGAAAGAAAGAGTGGCCTCCGAAAGAAATGAGAGAGATGCTTTTCTCCTTGCTCCAGGCGCAAACTGTGCCCAACCTAAGGGAAGGTTTAGATGGCCACTCGCGGACAGGCGGCTCTGTGGTTCGGTCCTGGGAACAGCTGGGTTCCTCTGCCTTCAATTGGGGCTGTCTTGATGAGGGACAGGGTGTGCATTATCTTCCTGGGCTCCTTAAAGCGGGTGAGAGTGTCTGTGGAAAATGAAAACCCAGGCAAACAAAGTCAGAGCAACGTGCAGTCTCATGTTGCCGTTGATCTTTCTTTCCCTCTTGGTTCCCCGGGTTCGTGATTGCGTTGTGAACTCGGGGGTTTAAGGTAAATGAGTTGGGTTCCGGTGGAGAGCTCTCCGCCAGAGTCAGGAGAGAGCAAGTTTTGCTTGGCTAAGGACACGTTTTAAAAAGGGAAGTCAATGTTAGGGCCTCCAAAGTCCCTTTTCTTCATTTAGGGTTCCGGTATCAGCGGAAAATAGCAAACACGTTCAGGCTTGGCTTCTCCCAGAGCTATGCCAGCCCTTTATTGAGGTCCACACAGCTGCCCCTCTGAGCTTTCCTGTGTGAGGTGCCCATTTGTTGTACGTTCTGATTCCCCATTTCAATCACATTGTTGGGTTTACTTCTTTGAGAAGTGCAAATGACTCAGGTGCAAAGGCTTATCTGCCTCAACACCTCACTTAAGTTTTGTTTTTAAGGAAAGATGAGCGATAACGCTAACCACCAGCCTCTGTTCATTAACCAAGGAGAGTGATCCCATTGCGTAACAGAAAGGCGTTTTATGAATGGGGTTGAGAGAATAGAACACACCATTTGGGGTGTGTTGCCTCTTTTGATAATCCACCTCTGCTGCCAAACCCAACAACATAAATATTTGACATTAATCCAGGCTCAAGCGTTTTCCATGGTTTCTTCATGAATCAAGGACTTCAAACATCTGCTTCAATTTACTTTTAATTTATTTTATGGGTTATGTATATTAAGGTACTCTGGACCGTTAAATGAAAAAAATCTATAGAATGTTATTGTTTGTTGAAGGATTATGTAATGGAAACCCTCAAATTATCCTAAGAGTTATTGAAAATTTGATTGTTCTAGGGAACAGTGGCCCCATTGTGTGTTTTCTAATATCCATGTTTGTCACTTAGTTTTTCATTGTAGACCCGATATGAAAAGAATCTGGGCAGACAATAAAGGTACATGCTGTTGCAATCAAGACATATTGGCTTATGATAATTTTCCATTACTGGAGGTATTGCCAAGAGCCAACTGGCTAAATTAATTATATTTGATTATAAATAAGCATTGGCAGTAGAGTACAAAAGCAGGTTGTTATTCTTCAGTATGTATATGAGTATCAAAACATATTGTACACTAAAATACAGTTAGAAAGGTTTTCCAAAATGAAAAAGTATAAAAAATAAAGTAGATCATTAGTCTTTAAGGTCAACTCCATCTATGCTCTGAACTCTTTGTCAAAATAAGTTTCTAAAGAAGTAACTACATTGTATATTGATTTTTATTTTCTTTTAAGTGTTGCTTAGAATGTTCAGAAGGGTCATTAAATGTTACAGCATTTTATGAAATTAATGCTTAAAGAAATAAATTACTTCCTGTTTAGACCAACTGTATAGTAGACTCCATAATGCCCTAATTTAGGTAGAACTTTCATGAAGAATTAGCATAGAAATTAAGCACGATAGAATTAATTTGCTTCTGGATAGTGTTATTTTCCTATTTATGATGTATTTTGTTTATTAGACTAGATTTTTGTAACTTAAAAATTTAAATTCCCAAATGCTCTCTTTAAAAATATGTACACGTTAAAAAAAATCAAAGACTTTTAAAAGTATATTTAATTAAAGCACATATATTGATTGAATTTAATAAACAAATTGTTGCTATGGTACCCTCTCTCCATTATTGTCAGATATTTAAAATATATGAGGAATAAAAACCATAAGCATGATTTACATTTTTAAACAGTAAGTAATGTCTCAGCATTACTTCTATACTTCTTTTTTTATTTATTTTTTATTGTTTTATTATTCATATGTGCATACAAGGCTTGGGTCATTTCTCCCTACTTCTATACTTCTAAATATTAGAAGTATATTATATATAGGATAATTATATTCCATATATATATATGAAAATGCAACAGATAAATAGTTGACAATCCTTTCTTTCACTTAGAGACATTATTATTTTTCACCATAGTCCTCTCGACTATATCATTTTAAATATATGTCCCAAATATTTTTTACTTAGGCTGATAAAACATGAGTCATAAGCAAACCCTTATGTTAAATTCCATTATCAAAGCATTCTTTTCTCCTTTTGGAAGTATTTAGTTCATTTACAAATGAACTTTTTAATTTACTGGCTGATCTCCTAATTTACTTATTATATTTTTCTTGAATTAAAGAATTCTTTCAAAGAATTCTTTTGATGACTTATATGTACATCAAAATATTTATAAATATATTTTAAATTTCTATAGGTCACTATTACCCAAATTACAAACAAGCTTATTAAAACTAAAAGCTTATTAAAATAAAAAAAAACTTTTTCAACATGGAAGTGTCAAAATCCTTCCAGACCTGTCTGTCTAGAAAGCCTGTGCTGTTTGCAGTATTATTTTGGGATTCTCAAGCAGACATGGGGGTAGCGTAAAGAATGAGACCTCTATTGATAAATGTGATTGATTCACTTGGCTCAGAAGAAAGAAAAATAGATTATCCCTATTTTCTATTTATAAAACAAGCTTTTGTAAACTAAACCAAACATTTGAGAAGAGCTAATGTTTGTAAATAGCTTGCTTTGTGTTTCCTGAATTTGTAATTACTTACAGGTTCACTTATAGGACCCAAGTGGAATCCATTGTCTCTGACTAAATGCTTATTCTTCAACTTTGTTATCATAAGCTTTCTGGGTCATCTCACAAATGCAGAATCTTCTTGCCATTTAAGAAACTGCAAAGAAAAATATCTACCCAAAGAATAAAGCAGAGTTCCAAAAAAGATTGGCTAAAGATGAGGAGAATGGAGAAAAGAATGTTGACAGTAGGCCAAAGATTAAGGTCAAGTGAAAACCATTAGATAGATATGAAATCCAGCCATGCTGTATATGAAATGAAATGGCAAAGAATTAATGCCTAAGTATTACTGTTTTATTTGGCTATGGAAAGGATATACCATTCTTGCATTTCATTATTGATGAATTCATAAGCATAATCCATTTTAAATAACCATCTCTCTATATATCTTTATGGAAGTAGACATTTAGTCCTCATTCTTCTCAGAACAGAAAAAATTCCTAGCTGACGTTGGAGAAATGAGAAATTCTTCTCTACTCCATTTGTTCTAATTTCTCATGTATCTTCAGTAAAAGAAAGTGGGGGCTAACAAGGAGAATTAACCGATGGGACAAATTAACTTTTGTGGTATAAGAATGTGATATAAGAAGTTAAGGTCTCATCACAATTTTCTACTGCCACTGTAAACTTGCATTATAAACTGAAAATTTCTCTTTTGACCCTCTTCTCTCTCTCCTGTAACCATTTTTCTACTCTCTTTCTATGAGTTTGACTTTTTTTAGTCACCATTTAACTAAGATCATACAGCATTTGTCTTTCTGTGTCTGGCTTATTTCACTTAGCATAATGTCTTCCAGTTCAATCCATGTTGTCACAAATGACAAATTTTTCTTTTGTAAGCTGTATGGTATTCCATTGTGTACATTTTCTTATCTATTCATCTACTGATGGACACTTAAATTGCTTTTGTGTGTTAGCTGTTGTGAATGATGCTGAATGAACATGAGAGTGCAGGTATCTCTTTGACATTCTCATTTCAATTTCTTTGAATATGTACCCATGCTACAGTTTTGGAACATCTTTAATGTCTTCCAAAAGCCCATGTGTATGGTCCCTAACTTGTTACTGTTGGGTGGTGGTAGAACTTTTGCAAGGTGGGGCCTAAAAGAGGTCTTCCAATGAATAGAATATGTATGGGATTCATCCCTGTTGTTCTGTGTATTAGTGGTTCATTCTACTTTATTGCTGGAATCATATTGTATCAATCTAACATACACTTAAAATCCATTCTCCTGTTGATGGGCTTTAAAATAATCTAGCTTGGGGCTACTATGAATAAAGCTAAAATATTATTTCATTGGTCTTTTGCATTAATATTGGTACATTTTCATTTTCCTTGGATAAATACCTAAAAGTAGAGGTGCTGGGATAACTTTTTAGTAGTCACATTTTTTTTCTCAAGGTAGCAGTACCATCTTACATTCTCACCTGCTCTGTGGGAGAGTTCCAGAGCTTCCATATATTCAACAACTTACGGTGTTGAAAAAATGATCTTTTTTTTAATCCATATTTTGTGGTCTCTTATAGTGAGTTAAATTTGCACTTTCCAGTGACAAACTATGTTAAGCATATTTTTGTATGCCTTTCTTTATGAAATGTCTTTCCAGGCTTTTGTTGTTGTTGTTGATTTTGAGGCTTGTTTGGCTTTTTACTGTTTAGTTGTTAGATCTTTAACTTCTAAAGTTAACTTTAACTTGGTCAGTTATAAAACTTTCTCCCAGTTTTGTGACTTGCATATTCTAAACAGTGTCTTTTAATGGGATTTAAAAAAATTTGGTGGAATCTAGATTATTATTCATAAGTGATATTTAGATCTGGACTCTGTGGTTGCTTTGATCTGATTGTCTTGATTTTGTGTCCTGAGACCTTGCTACATCTATCTATTTCTAGAAGTTTTAAAAAAGATTTCTTAGAAATTTCTGCCTAAGCAATGATACCATTTTCAAATGGAGGTAGTTCCTTCTACACATTGACCCCATTTTTTCCGTACCTTATTATATAAGATAAGAGCATGCAGTAAAATGGCGAATCAAAGTAATGACAGTAGACGTCCTCATCCTGTCCCCAATCTTAGGGGAAACGCCTCGG